CAAACTTTTTAATAAAGAAATATAATTGAAAAATTTTATCATAAGAATATAGGTTGTTGACTTATTAACTTTTTTCATGCTATATAGGTTAGGTTAGGTTATATAAATTGTATTTTGCATTTTCTTGTTTTTCAACACGTTTACTACGTACAATACTAATTGGTGTCATTTAACATTGTTCACTTGGTATGCTAAATGATGCCAATACGCATGCACCCTGTTATTTAATTTAAAATAAACTTATCAGTGTTCAGATTTAACTATTAGGATTTTGTCAGTGTCTCCCATAAGTATTATTCATACATAAATTTGACAATATTTTATTTTTTCAATTTTTAAGGATTTTATTTTTTTTTAATAACCAATTTTTTCAGCACATAAAGTTGTATATACAAATGTTCTATAATCATTATTTTTCCAAAAAAATACTTACATTTTTATTATTATATGTAGAAGGTTTTTGATGTTATTAGATTTACTGCTTAAAAGTGCTAGCATGTCATATGTTTTATCCTCATTTTCAGTGATTAAAATTTTAGCTGATGAGGAAATTAAAGTCTTAAAAATGTACGATGACATTGATGTGGAAAAAGTCAAAGATGACAACTATCTTCCTGAGGCAATGAGAAGATCTAAAAGTCCAAAAGCTACAAATCCTCAATTAACGACAAATGTTCTAAAAGCACAACTGTCAAGTAAAATTATATACAAAATATTTAAAAAAAAGTTATAGTTATAACTAAAATTAATTAAATTTATTAATTAGGTTTGGACTTGATTCAAAATAAATCTCCGAGAAATCAATCTGTAATTATAGGGTATCACCCATATATTGATGAAAGAAAAATTGAAAGAATACCACTACAAAAATATTTAGAGATTCAAAGTAAAATAGCACACAATGGACAGTCTCCAATACAGAAATGAAGAGTTATGCAGAATTACAACAACGTTTAGAGGTCAAAAAATAATTTTATTTATTCTTAAGTATAAACACTATAGTCTATAATTTAGTTTTGGGTTGGAAAAAAATTAAGGACACTAGAGTTGTATAAAAAAATTAACTTTTTTTTTTACTTAATAAAAAGTTAACAAAAAGTGTGTATTAACTTTTAACTTAACTGAGTTAACCTATAGTTAAATTAATTTTTAACTTTTTGTTATTGGCGCATATTAACTTAACTGGGTTAAAAAAATTAATAACTTGTCCAGCCTTGACTAAATATGTAGTAGTTCAAATCATTTGTTTAAACTTTGTATCTATAAAAATGTAATCATTTTAATATTAACCTTCAATTAAACATTAACAATTATTTGACTAAATGTTGTATATGCCAAATGTTTTTTTTTTCAGTCTAGATATTATATGTTATTGAATAGTTTTAAGAACATAAAGTATAATATGTACCTTTAAAAAAAAAAAAAATAATGATTTGTATGTATTATATCATTTTTAACTGGTTTTTAGCTTTTGTTCCATAATATTTGTAATTGTCAATTTATGTATTTATAATGCATGCTATGTTTCAGTATTATTAATTAATGTGATTTATCATTTAAAAATATTTTGACGTTATTGTTTAGATCCTTTAGTCAAGTATCTGGTTAAATAAATGTAACTTACGACTATCATATAAGTTTATTTATTTTACCTCAAATTATGTAGTATGTCCTACTTATATTAATTTACAGAAAAATTGCAGTTCATTGAACATGTGCAATCAAACGACAAATTTAATTTATTAGATAACTTATATGGTATTAATTTTGATAAATCAATTTGTTATTTGTATAATATACAATGCACCTAATTAACTCAAACAATTGTATCAAAGGACAATGGCTAAATACTAACTTTTAAGTTATACCATTTTTTACCATACTATAAATTATGAGAAACAAATAAAAATATTCACCTTGGACAAAAAAAGTGTATCCCTTTAAAAAGAAACATTTAAAAGAAAAAAATTTACATAAATAAACTGCTCCAATATGGTCATATGTACAAACAACATATTTAAATACATATCTTATAACATTCGATTAATCCACGCTGAATAATTATAAAATAACATTCAGCCATGTGTACAGATTAAAAAATCATTTACTTTAAATATATATTGGACATCAAACGCGTTGTAGATTGATCCTCATGACCCCAATTTGTGTCGAAATGCAATCAATATGAAAAGTATTAAACAAAAAGAAAAAAAAATATTTTGCACAAATTCTTAATATTTGGTGGGTTGCTATTTTAATTATTTTTGTAATATTACTATGAATTTGATCAAAATTCATATTTTTAAATAAGTATAATATGTATTCAGTTGTTTATTTAAGTTTTTAAACATTGTTTTGTATGTTGATTAAAAATGATTCTTTTCTGTTTTGATGAGGTATCTTATTCAAGATCTTCTTGAAATTTATTTTGGATGTGTACGGAAGAAATTAATTGAAGCAAACAAATATACAAATTCTAGGTACTTGTATTGCATTTGTTTCAGCTAAAAAAATATACAATAGGCTCAGTTCTCTATTGTGTTTTATATTAATGGCATATAGATATAGCTTGTAAATACAACATTAGTAAGGTAGCTGGACTAACATGTAAACAAAAACAAGGAACTATGTATAAATTATTAAAAGTTCTTTAGTCAATGTGTGATGAGTGAATTTAATATGGCTTTAAAATAATTTAACGATAAACTTATAAACAACCCAAACATTTGAGAGTTTGGTATATATTTTGATGGCAAGTATGTTTACAGAGTTAACTTAATTTTACTGGAATTGTCTAGGCATTTAGGAGTAAATTGTAATATGTTTCTAGAATCTATGCATAAAAGAACAAAATAATAAAATATCACAACTTATTCAAATGGTTGCAAAATTGGATGGTTAGATAAAAGAATAATAACTATTAAAAAATATACTCGTGATAACAATATTGAAGGCTAATTAGATTAACCAAGGGGAAATAACTAAAAGGATCCAAGACATAAAAAAGTAACAAGACAAAATAAAAGTACATTACTTGACCTTCCGATTAACCAGGATAGCATTAATAAGTAGAGTGTTGAAAGTGAATCATATATTAAAAAGTAAGTTCTATCAAATAAAATAAATTGTAATGATGTATGTTGTCCAATGATATGTTCTGCTTGTAAGTTGTGTTATCATACATTTCAATGTTCCTGATTACTAAGTTATGTAAGCACCGATGTAAGCACAATATACATTAACATTTTGCTTCTCTAAAGATAATGTCAACAGAAAATACTGAAGATATTCCTATTTCGTCAGATATAACCTACAAATACTATAAATCTCAATTTGGATGCTACTGTAAACAATAGACGAAACAAACAATGATGATGAAATACCAGATCATATTAAGTGATTACTGATTAGTAAATTAAAAAAAACAGTAAAAATGCAAGAATAATTTAAATAAATTGCTATAAGTCCAGGCAACAAAAGCAAACAATCAAAAACCATTGAACATCTTAAAAATATTTAAAACAATAAATTTGTGTAACATAAAACATTCACAGATAGAATAAATATTCCCAATAATAATTTTATAGAAAAATCTTTCTGTACTAACTACTAAGAATTGGAGAGCCTAGATAAAAAAATACCAATAATTTTATTATTATTATTATTTTATATACTATAATTATAATACCTTATGGCTTATATTATTATGAAGGCTCTCCAGTAATAACTAATTAGATATTATTTTGAATTTTGATAACAGCCTAACGTATAGATAATTGTGATTCATGCAGTGCATGCACCTTCTTTCGTGTTTCATCGAGTATTGGCAATCGTTGGTTATCATGGTCATAGTATATGAAATAAGAAGTATGATCAACTCGAACCGTGTTTTAGTCCTATAGTTCACGCATGCGCATGGCCTTGTGGTCTTGTGCATACTGCATTGCATAAGATTAAATGTATACTTGTGAAGTCGCCTTGTGTTTATTGTTGGTTGCCTATATACATTCTACATTGCCCCTAACAAAAATACGCGCAGTATTATCATTGAGCATACTTCTTATTCCTTATACTATAATTATGGTTATAATTAAATATTATTATGATACAATTTTTAAATACATACCACGATTAAAGATGGTTAAATACTGTCTTCAATCGTAATACCTATAATTAAGGGCTAGTATTAGTGTATTACCATTTCTAATAAAATCTGTTATTAGCCGGTTAGCGTTAACCGGACATTGTAATACAGGCTCTAAGTATATTACTTATGATATTAACATTGACTTCAGAAAAAAGTTCTGTGTTCTGGTTTTCAGAGTATTCAGATTTCACTATTTCAATTTATTAGATATTTTTGATTTTCATAATTATTTATATTATATCCATAAACATAAAAAAATTATAAATTTATAAAAAATAATATTTTTAATCAATATTATAAATTAATTGCTGTATTAAAATGCAGTACCAACAGTACATTTCGGGGGGTTAACCCCCTAAAAACCCCCATATATACGCCACTGGAAAGAGGACAGGTATCCTTGCAATCTTTACAATTTTACAGCCGTCAAGTGCTGCTCCCAGTTCAACAGTGTTTAAACCACCGACCGCAGACGACCGCTCACGACCACACATGTTTTTTTTCTTTCACTATTCTGATCATACTAGTGTCTTCAGGTAGACGTCACTAATCGATATCGATAAATCATTCTACTATCGATTGTACTATTGACTTGACCAATTTGTAATAGTGTAATAGTACAATCGATGGTAGAATTGATAAATATATATCGATGTATTATTGAATCCACCTTCAGGACTACGAACATTAGATGGCGCTGTAGTAAGAATTAAGATATATCTTACTGTTCCTACAATTGTTGTTACTGTGTAACTCAGACACTTAGTTGTGTATCAGCCTGTTGCCTCTCATTGCGTGTGTGGTCGACATACCTTTCATTTTTATAATAATAAATACAAATTTCGTTAAAGCCATGGACGGAGAAAAAGCATCTTCGTCCTCCGTCAATGTAACCGTAAGTTGGATATGAATTATTTTCAGAATTGTACCTATAATACCAAGACTAATATATTATTATATTATATACGATATTATAATTATAGCCATTTATTATAAAGTTTCCATACAAATTTAAAAAAAACAGTTTGATTCCCGTTTCTACCAATTTACCGACCACGATCATAATATTGCGAAACAACTAAAAGTCAAATAAAATTAATTTTTTCTTATATTTTAATACACATAATATGTTGCAGTATAGAATCTTCACAGAACACATACATTGTCATAAATATAAACCATGTACAATTATTTTAAGTTAAAATTGTATGATTTAAAGTTCAAATATTCCTGCATACATTTTCTATGTTACTTGTAAGACGAAGACAACAAATATCTGTGTAGTGTCTTTTTAAAGGTACCTACCTAAGATAATTATAATTAGTGTTTGAAAATTTCATGAAATTTAAAAATAAATATTGAAATATTTCAGTATTTTAATACATTTTGTTTTATTTTTAAATAAGTTTTATATTTACATATAATTGTCATAAATTACCTTCATCACTATATGGTACCTGTATGTATACCTAACCTTTGGTATTATACATTTAAATTGGTATTCAAAATTTTTAAATATTTTAATGTTTAAATGATACAAGTAGGTATACAATATTAAACATGTATATTGTATACTTACTGAATTCTGACATTAGAATTTAGAACACTGAACATTGTGTTAAAAAAATAAATAAATTGTGTTTTTATTTGTGTTAAAAAAATTTCAATGTTTCACGTTTTTGTGAAATATTTCTCATACTTCAAACACTAATTATTATAATGTCAATGTATTGCGTGTAAACTGTATGTTTGAAGCGTTAGGAAAATATACAAAATAGTTGAAAATATTGAACTAGTTCATTGTATGATTAAGTGGATATTAATGGCAAGCGAAATCGTTTTACCTAAACAATACTTTTTAATAAGTTAATTAGATAATTACTACGAACACGGACATACATGACGTATGTGTATGTACCTATATCTATTATCCATATAATATTATACATGTATTTGTATTGTATTATAATATAGTTTGTCGTAAGTACTTGGTACAAAAAGACGCAGAAGGAATGTCTTGAGTGGAGGGGAGATGTTTATTTCCGAGCACACGCCGACAGTTTTTAGTGCACATAATTTATTGCCCCCCAACCCCGCCGCCACAAGGGATGAACCATGTGCCGGGCCAACGGGGATAAATACGGCAAGATGTCTATGTCGTCGTAGTTGTTTGCGCTTGCGCGGCACTAGTGGGTATTGGTATATGGTGGTGTATAAATGTATAATATAATATAATAAAATATAATGTACACCGGTGCCTGGTAGAATCGTTTGAGAGGGAATTATTTCTAATTGTTAGCTAAATTCCATCCCACTGACCAAAACTCGTTTGTGTACATTTTACATAGGTATACTTATATATTATACAACTGGTTTCGATACACCATATCTTTGGAAAAATAACACGTATGAGTAAACAAACTAATACAACATTTGGACACACGTTGAAACCACTTATACTACACAACTGTTATTTTCAGTATAGTTCTTATGTTTTAATTTTGACAATTTAACTGTTCGTAAAACCTTTTTCAACGGGAGCCGTTTGGGAATTAGCAAACAATGGACGGGAGTCGTTTAATTATTTATCATTTTTATTGTGACGAAACCATACCTGATTTCAGTGAAAACGACCACCTTTGACAATATTTTTAATAGCTTGTGATACCATTACATTTGGGGCCGCTTTTTAAAAATTTAAATGCTTCGTTTTCAAGTTAAATCGTTTCCCTTAAAATTCAAAATACCTGTATAATTCTTTTATTTTGAACCAAACATCAGTACCTATCTCAGTTTTATACTAGTGTATATGACGTTTAGACCTATTATCTAATAATAGCTCCAAAATGATATTTTATACTGAATTCGCAGTCTTTTCCAATTTTTCATCATAATTAATAAATATTAGAATCATTAAAATATGTATTAAATTGATTTTTTTGCAATAAAATTAAAAAAAAAACTTTTTTGGTAATTTTCAACTATTTCATGTGAATTTGTGCGGTCAAAAAATCATTGTTTAAGACATTTTGACTTTTTAGAGCATTTTTATTAGTTGTTTTATTGCGCATCCTTGTTTGGTTTTCTATACTGGTCATCTTTCTCAACCATAGGAAACTTCAAACTTAAGTATACATCACTAATTACATGGTCAGAGTGTCGATCGAAAATAGTTGAGATGAAATATATTTTTTAACATGTTCAATTGATAATAAATAAATATATAGCATATATTTTCACAAAGATCGGTTGGTGTGGTTAATCACATTTTACTTTTACATACCCTTCAAGACTGTGAAGGTTAACTATGAACATTATAGTTATTGATAAATGATTAAATAATTACCCACAGACGGCGTGCGGCGTAGATATTTATGTTAATAATAAATAATTGTCCTTTAATGGGAAACATACCATAAGAATGAAATTATCGTTGACATTTTGTATTATATTGATGTGAATTAAGTACGTTATTAAAAGTCTTTGTGATTAATATTGGAAATGTTTGTGAAAAACACACTCAGCGCGCTTGAAACAATAAAACGTTGATAACTACTTGATTGATCATATTATAAATAGGTACACATTATAGTATTATAATATTCTGATTACTTTCATTAAGATAATAGATTATTGTTTGAGAATTGTTATCTCTAAAAATTGTTATTGCTGTAATGATGATAATTAAAAAAATTATTTAACTTTATATATCTTATAAATAATATATTTTAGATTTTGATTATAATATATATTATTATATTATTATATTATTTTAGATTATATTCATTTTACATTTTTAGAATATGTTTTTTTGTCTGGAGACATTTATAATAGCACAAAAATACTTTGATTTTCCACTTTAATATCTTTTCTGGTAGGAAAGTGAATTTAGGTAGTACTTTTTAAAATGGAATTTTCACTCAAAACCAGTATACCTACCTATTTGATAAAATTGTTTTTCTTATTTTGTTGTAATTCAATCGTAGATACTTGAAATGTCCATTAATATTAAATAACCACTATCTATACCTGGTATAATTTAAAAAATATTTTGTCTCTGATTGATCTATATTAATAGACATGTGAAATTGTTGTTTTTTAAAAATAAATTTTGGTAAAAATTATTTGCTCGGTCAAAAAATCTCAGGTTTAAAATTCAATTTAATTCAGGTTTCCCCATAAATACCTAGTTATCAATTGTTAATTTGATATTATTAAAAAAGTCTTATTGTAAATCCACAAAAATGTTTTATAAGTGCTTGAATTTAGAATTTTGACAAATTTCGTTAGTCAAGAAAATCGAAAATTATTATGTAGTTCAAAATTCATTTAATTTTTATATTCATATCTAAGATTTGAAAAATTACAAATAGGTTCCTCGTAAGCTGTTATAACTGGACATCAAAAAAAGTTCAGCGTAATTCCACAAATATTTTCAATCTCTATTCTCTAGAATAGTTTAAATTTGATACATAGGTACTTATTCAAAATCGTAAAATAGCGATTTCTCACAGGATGATTTCTTATTTTGTTGTAATGAAATTAAAAAACAAACACCCTAATTTAAAATTTGATAATAATAGTCAGTTAATCATTCTACTGTTATATGCTTAGGTATATGGTGATCGTTTATGAGCATTTTAGAATTCCACATATTATTCGAGTAATATTTGTTTCGTCGATCTCGTATTCTCGAAATTAATTATTTATTTTTTTTTTTATTGATCATTAAGCCCGGCAACTATGGCTATTAGCTGTTTTGTTTTTTTTTTGTTATTCTGTAGTGGAGGTTACTGTTGGTTTGTAAACTCGCGTGTGTAGTTTCGGCATATTTTTCAGTGGGCACCCGTGACTTGAACGAAAAAAATGCCGCCCCAGAACCGAGGTTTGAGTCACAACCGACGCCTTAGTCCGCTCGGCCACTCCGTCCCCCCAATTAATTATTATTATTGTGAAAGTGTTTGGTAGGTATGTTTTGACCTTAGTTCTTATCTTTTTATCGTTTTTACTATGTTATCATCTACATTCGTAATTAACGACTTCCGGTTGTTTTCATCTATCACTCTGAATAATTGTTATAATTCCATATCAATCGTATATAAATTATTGTTCGATTGTAAATAGTGCGATATGTACACAGGCTTATACATTTTAATGGGGTACCTACCTATATCAATAATATTTCACAGTCTAAATTCCAAATGAAATGTAAATACGATTTGGTGCTAATACCTAAATAATGTTATTTGATATTATATTAGGTATCTATATTGCTAAAAAAAATCTTTATAATAATATGCTAAAACGGTTTTCTTCTGTGTTTTTTTTTTATTAAAAACATTTATACGGCTTCAACAATTAATTCATTAGGCGGGATTATTGCCACTTATAATTAGGTAGTCATTTTTATCATTGGTTATTTCTTAACCGCATGCAGATTGTACAATTATTGTAGAAATGCCTAATATTATACTTGTATAAGATAACAATTATTAATCTATGTATACCTACAATAATTATGTTATAAAGACATTATTTTTTGAGTTTTCCTTGTGTACCTATATGTATCGAAAAATATGTTATGCCAATAATAGTTATGAATAATATTATTTTAATTAACTTATTATAAATTTATTAGTTTACTGCGTTTTATATGTAATAATATGGACTAATTCAGTATTTTTATTTCTTAGATTGCTGATGAATGTAAGATCTTTAAATTAAAAAAAATTGAACTGTTGAACTTAATGCAGTTTTTGGATGAGGATATCAGGAATGGGTTGGGCAGAGAAACTAACCATTCCTCTATGGTTAAGTGTTTCATCACTTACGTTCAGGATTTACCAAACGGCACAGGTAAAAATAATTCTTATGATTATACGATTATGGTAACAGAAGTAATTTAATAAGATTTTTGTCTTTTAGAAAGAGGCAAATTCTTGGCCTTAGACTTGGGTGGCACCAATTTCCGCGTGCTATTGATTGAATTGGTAGACAATGGTAATTACAAAATGAAAAGTGATGTCTTCATAGTTCCCAGTAAGATCCAAACTGGCAAAGGCACAGAAGTAATTAAATATAGTTTTATTATAAATTGATAATCAGATAAAGCTACTATACCTACTTATGTACCTATGTCATCATGTTATGTAGTTATTCGATCATATTGCTGAATGTCTGGCAAATTTTGTAAAAGAGAACAACTTGGACACAAAAACGGTATTACCGCTGGGCTTTACGTTTAGTTTTCCACTTAGACAAGTTGGACTTACCAGAGGACATTTAATTAACTGGACAAAAGGATTCGCATGTTCAGGAGTAGTTGGTGAAGACGTCGTCCAACTACTCAAGGATGCAATTAGGAAGAGACGGGTAAATAATGATAAAATTACCAATATCAATTAATTTTTTTTTATACATCTATTAAATTTATCTTATCTCTATGATATGTATTGCCATAATACATGTTAAAATGTATCAACTGATTTAAGATCTCAGAATGTTAATTAAGAGTCTGAATCTACATTTAACTATACCCTGATGAGTTGTGGTGTTCAGTAAGTGTTTACTAAATCATTATTTTAAATCCAATATAACAAAAGGTGGGCAATATACGCGTTATACACCAACAACAAACCCTGATACTATCATAGATATATAGTAGTATACTTTAGAAGTTTCAAGTACCCACGAATAATATTATACAATCACAACGAAATAACTAAAATAGTTATTCAAGGTTTTTTTTATGTAATTTCATCCAAATTTGAACTTAAAATGACTATAAAAATATACTATGAGTATGTATTTTTTAGATTTTTTGGTAACAGAATTAAGTACTTACGTGGAATCTTGTTTTAAATTTTCGATCCTTAGAAATAAAAGTTGAACGTTTTATAAATTTTTAACTACAATATAATTATTCTATTTTAAATTTGATACATTTTGTCAATATTCGATCTTTAAATTCTAATAAAAAAAATTGTGCCTATGTATTTTTAATATTTTTCAACTGATATTGTAAAAATATATCAGGAGCCTTGTATTAAATTTTTACACTTTTGGCCCAACTGATATAACTTTATTGATATTTATAGGAAAAAAAACTAAAATAATAGAAAACTGAAAATGTCCGTAAACAGCTCAAAAGAAGTCAAAATATTTATAACTAATTTTATAATTAATTTATAAATTGTATGGTGTATAGGAAATGCTAATATAAACATTCAGTGAAATTTTCATGTATCTACAGTTATTCGTTTTTGAATTACAACAAAATAAGGCAATCGCTACATGAGAAATCGAGTGAATATCCAATTTTGTAAAAATTTTAATTTCAAACGCTCATAAAAATTTAATTTAACTTTCCGGTAGAGATTTTTTTATTGATAAAGGTAGACAAACTTATGAGTAATCTTGTATTACATTTTCAAATCTTAGATTTAAAAAGAAAAAAATTTAAGAATTCTTTAACTCAAAATAATTTGCTAATTTTCATGATTTTTCCATATTTAGTCAATTTTTGAACTTTAAAATGCTTATAAAAAAATTGTGGTAAAGGATTTTTAATATTTTTCATCTGCCTTTGAAACAATATACTAGAGCCTTCTATTTTTATTTTTTATTTTTATAATTTTTATTTCCATCTGTTACAATAAAATGAACAATAAGTAAAATAGATAATAGAATAAGTGGCTTGAGGAAAGGACGGATTTAAGAAGCCTTCCAGTGAAGACACTTTGACAGGAGCCTTCTATTAAATTTTCAATCTTTTGAAACCATCAAATAAAATTTTATTGATATTTTTAGAATAAAAACTAATAAAAATTGAAAATGAAAATGTCCCTAAACAGTTCAAAACAAATCATAATATTGTAAAAATGTTATCGTGTATAAAAAATGCAAGTATAAACATCCAGAGAAAATTTCATGTATATACGTTCATTTGTTTTAGAGTTATACCAAAAACCAAAATCGATTTTTTGGAAAAACAGATTTTGCGTAAAAATTCCCGGCATTCCTTAATTTTTATGTGTTTAATCTTGGCGCTTGTGAAAACTATTGGGAATTATAAAATTTGACCTCCTGAATGCACCAACAAGATTCACTTTCCAATCAAACAAGATACTGAAGTTGAAAATCAAAGCATTATTTCGACTACTTATCGTGTACACAGACACAAAACTAAAAAAAAAAATTAAAAAAAAACACACATCATTGTAAAATCAATACATTCATCGTTCCACTCAGAATCGAAAATAATTAAAATTATGTAATACTGGCACACTTAAAAATTAAATATTCAGTGGCCTAAAATTATCTCGATAAATTGGGTCCAGGAAAAAAGGTACTATGTGAATTGAGTCCCGAAAATAAAATGCTATACCCTGTCCCACGAGAGAACCTGCTGGTTCTGAGCATCACCCAGGTATCCCAACCGGTCCCACTATGGCAGGGTTTGCGAAACACGATTTTTGTCGTGCCGCGGCATGATCTCTTCTGGGACAGAGTGTAGTATGTTCATTCCATTTTTTTAATATCTTATCATCTTTAGTAGAAGTCAAATTTTTTAATTATATTATATTTAGGTATATATCTATTTTACATTATTTTATATTATATATATATTATTCTAAATAAATATAATGTGGCATAAAGTATATAAATGGTATAGATTAAAATAAGTGTTTATTACTTTATTACAATATTATGTTTCTTGGTAAGAACTTAAATGATCGGACCGATCAGGTAAGTAAGTGGGTTTATAGCCTGGACCCAATTAAACCTACTATTTTTTGTTACCCCGGACTCAACTTTCAAAATGTTCCCAGAATATACCCATTTTACCTAGCCCCGGTAATTGGGCCACATTCTATCCACCTGCTTCGTAGGTAAACCATATTAATTTACATTTTATTAGCCAGGTATTGAGTTACAAATTAATTAAATATTTTTCATGAGTACCCGAAGATTGAATCATAAACGTGTAATACAAAAATATATGAATATAATATAACATTTATTAATTAAAGTACCTATATAATTTTTATATTTTTGTTTTGAATAAATATATAATATAAAACTAGACAGGTACCAACATAAAGTTATTCGAATAATTATTAATTTAGTTTTCAATTACTCGAAAATACAATATTTTTTTTAATAATGCCATACAAACTTCACAGTTCTAGTCTGGGTTTTCCCTTCTTCGTATTTTTTAATTTCATTAAGAATATAATTTTTTCTAATTAAAGTTCGTTTCTAGGCCTTTAATGAACACACTCTTATCATTTTAATATACGCTTTTGCTTAAAGTTTTTCTGCTAACCGGATTCAATAACAAAAAATTGTTTAAAATAGTGGCCCAATCACCGGGTCCATATCTTCTAAATGTAAAATTTTTTGAAAAAGTTTTAATTTGGACCTTCTTTCCGGGCTCCCAAAGCATTTACAATGTTCATATAATTTGAAATAAATGGTCATTCGTCAGCTAGGTAGTTAAATTTATGTATCTTTAAAACAAGTTACAAAAAAAAAAAAAAAAAATAGTAGTAATCAAATAAAACAAAATACAAAATATAAATACATAAAAGTAGCCGGCAATATAGATACAATAATATAAAAAAGTTATGCATACTGAAACACGATTTTACGATGGTACTACTAACCATGCTGCTTTTTTTCATGTAAAAGGGTAAATTAAACATATAAAATTATTAAATCCGATAAATATATCACAGTATCTAGGTAACCTGTGGCAACCATTTATATAATTATATAGAAAAAAAAATACTTATTTCTACTAATTTGTTAATATAACTAAATTATACTAATATGCAACCTAATAATTTATAGGTAAATATTTGTATTTATGGCTTTTTAAACGACTTCCAGTTTTTCTCGAATTTTCAAATTGTTTTATTAACTTTTCAAATTTTTCTTTTCGTACAAACTTCATTCTAAATATTGCTCTTATTAAAAAAAAACATAAGCTAAAACAGACAAGTCGTTCTTGATTGATGCGGTTATCAACAGAGAGCTTTTGATTTTTATTATATAGATATACCTACATGAATACTTTTTTGTATACAAATACTACTAATAATAAATAATAATCTATTCAATATTCATTGTGAGTTTTGTTATATTATATGTTTATAACGTATGTAGGATAATTGATTTTAGCTCAATATTTACTGTTTAGATTCTATAATGCCCCTTGGCCCCTATTTAATCACATTGAACAACAATGTTTGGGTTGTATTGATATATATTTTATAATATATGACGTTATTGTGATAACAAATTAAATTATGTTTTGTATTATGTTAGCGAAAAACTAAATTTTATAACCTAATAACTTTTAAAATGTTACCTTTTAATACAGGGACAGGTACAGATACTATACACTAAAAATGTGTTTGTCTATAAAATAATATTACTTAATAAGAGGTTAATTTCGGTGTTCATTTTTTAGGACGTAAAGATTGACGTGGTCGGGATATTGAACGACACAACAGGGACTCTGATCTCGTGCTCTTTTAGAAACCCAAACACCAAAATTGGACTTATTGTTGGTATGTAATATAACATAAAATATTTTACTTATTTAACAGGTATTTTTCAAATATGATATTTTTATTTTTTTTTTAATAATATTAGAATTATTATTTGTTCTTCTTTACTTAATATTATGTTGTTTTTTGAATAATGTAGGTACCATAGGAATGTTGAAAATTAAAGTTTATATATTTAATAATGTACCAATCATATTATATTATATTTCTATAACTAAATTAATTTTAAAAGTAAGTATTGGATATTTTCTGTTTTTTTATAGACTAGAAAAATGCATTTATTTTTCTTATTTTATTAATTAAAAAAAAAAATAAATATATTAGGCTGTTTCTATATTATAAAAAAAAGCGTAGGCTTATTATATTAATCAAACAAGACGAACTCGTTTGGTTGGTACATTTAACATCAAATATCGGTGGCCTTCGCAGTGAACAAATAATACCTAGGTTATTTACCTTTTACCTCAGCATTAAATGATAACTTTATTGGTTCCTGTTATTGGTCAAGAGTCAAGTTTGGAATCATATACCTACCTGATTATAATTTTGTAATAGGTTTTGTAGTTTTCCACTGTATTATTTCATTTTATTATCTGTAGACTAAAATTTAAACTAATCTTCATCATTTCGGAATACAACTTATCAATATTAGATTATTAACTTGTATTTAATTGATTATTTAAAAGAGCAAACACTATGATGAAGTTTGAAAGTATATACCTACTATAATAATTTCTAAGAAACATTCAATACAGGTGTTATGGATTTTAATCAGATTATTCAATTAATTATGAAGAATTGAAAAAACCGCTTGACGTCATTGGCCGGGCTCGCCGTAATTGCCTACATAGGTCATATAGTAATATACACGTGTAATGTGTAAATGCTGACCCGTTCACACAATGTTTTTCGTATTTTAATATTATTTGATTAACATTTTATTATTCTATCTCATGTCTATTTTTTGTGTTGGAAACGATATATAGCATGCAGAATTTAATTTTCTTTTTCTTTCAATACTTAAAATAACATTAAGAGCAATGGTTGTTAAACACGCTTTAATTTAAAATGCTTTTTAATGTTGTATTTAATTCCTTGTTAAACAGCTATCGTCTTCAGTAGAAAAATGCACATAGGATATTAAAAGAAGTAAATCATTGTGTGAAGTTGGCCACTATTACATACCTACGCATTAGAAGATAGGCTTGTGAAGACGTGCTGTGGCTAATGGTTAACTACGGGTCTGTTTTAAATTCCTCAATGCCTCAAAAATGTTAATAATTTTTAATCGGATTTTCGATAGACTTGTTTGGTGCTACTTTGTCTACAATAATTTAACCTCAAAATATTTTTTGGGCCCCATCCAAATATTGATTTAGAAATAAAATTGAGATATTGTACTTTTTCAACAGAGATTTTCAAATTCCACGATAATAAACATTTTCATAAAATTATTACAATACAGTACCTATAGAGTATACAATATACATGTACAAGTATCTAGAGAAGACATTTTTTACATTTTTATAACTTTCCAAGCTACCAGCTGTAATATATTACACTTTAATTTTGGCAAAAATAAATTTTATTTAAATTTAGTATTGTTTTAGTATATTATAATAACATTATGTACCTACTTAATATAACTTTAAAGATATACATAATATTAAATTCAGTAAATTTGAAGAATCAGAACCCTATTTACTATAATTATATAACAATTTAAATTTGTTACACAGTCCGACCCCAAAATGTGTCCCACAACTTTTAAAAATCGACTATTTTTTACTTTTCCAGATTTTTGTTATTATTGTAATCTAATACGCATCTATATATCAGTATAGCACATTGCACATTAGCACATATTATTATATTTTATATACCAATATAATAATATAATATTAACAATTTACACAGAAACTATGAGATCAGACCGCCATAATATTATTAATAATTATCGATTTGGCTTTTACTAACTCGCGGGTGATGCAATCATTATGTATTGTTTTCGTGCAACGGGTGTACTCTCGGGAACTTTTGTAGTTATGTGCTTTTAGAAATCAATTCGTACAAAAATTAATATTCTTCCCATAGGCGTGGTGATCAAACATATTGGGAAGGCTGAAGCCCCACTACATACATTGTAATGGGCTGTTTCGTTGGGGAGGGGTTGGCTCTACTATTTTTGTTATAATTAGAAAAACTTATGAGGAAACAAATATTAGATAATTATAAAAAGAAAGCATTTTAAGAATTTATAACTCAAAGTAATATGCAAATTGTCGTGAATTTTATGAATGTTGTCGAAATTATATTTTTAAACGCCTATTAAAACATATTGTGACTATATGTATTTTCGATATTTTTAAAATATTATAATATGAACAACGCTCATGAGTTATGAGCAAGTTTGTATTCAATTTTCCAACTTTTTGATAAACTGAAAATATCGACGTATAAAGTAGAAAAAAATACATAAAATAAGGTCATTATATGTCTAAGATAGCTCAAAAAGCATAAACAAATTTAGTGATTGGTATTTAGTGATTGGTATTTATAAAGTAGGTATTTACGGTTGTTTGTTTTTGAGTTACTTAACCAAAAAAACAATTTTGATTTTGTCAAAAACATTCAGGTACCTAGGTACTACTTAAAAATTAATTTTTTTCATTTTTTCCCCGTTTATTATTAAGAAAAGAACTAGGAATTTTATATTTTTATCTCTTAAAATTACCAACTCCCTGTGCTCAGAATCCAAAATAACATTATTTATTACTTTCTGATGTGCAACACAATTATTGTGATAAATAATTTCAAAAGTGATAATATTAGTAAGTATTATATTGCCATGGTTTTACATTTACCTGAACGAAATACACAGCAATGATTCTGGGGGGGCTAGGCCCCAAACCCCCCTAGATACGCCTATAATTCAGCAAAACAGTTCAGAGATTACCTACGATTGTTTATAACATGTCTGTTTGTGCAGGAACGGGCTGCAACGCGTGTTACGTTGAAAAGGTGGAGAACGCTGAACTTTTCGTGGGCGACCATTCGAGACCGCATGTGGTCGTGAACTCCGAGTGGGGCGCGTTCGGGGACGATGGAAAATTAGATGCCGTTCTCACGAAATACGATAGGGAGATCGACGAGGCCTCTTTGAACCCAGGAAAACAACGGTAAGCGTGTCGCTCGATAAGAATAGTACAATAACATTGTTATCGATTTCCGTGACGGTGTCTGATATATACATACAATTTTTTCCGCGGTGTTTCAGATTTGAAAAAATGATCAGCGGCCTGTACATGGGTGAGATCGTGAGATTGGCTATCGTAGACTTGGCCAATCAAAACAAACTCTTCAATGGAAGACTGTCCGAACAAATGAATACCAAGGGAATGTTTGATACTTCATTCATGTCCGAAATTGAAAGGTACCCTAATATTAAACATATACCTACCTAATATTATATTTTAATAATATATTTTAAGACTTCGAGTGTCTTCGAGATGTAATTTTAAACCGAGAAGATTATGGACCCTTTATGTACAAGGGCCCCGGAGACAAGGCCCCACTGCCCTCCCCCCTTATCAGGGCTTGTTGATAATGCAAATCGTCATACGAGTATGAGACTGTTTATGTTATAAGGTTACTGCTCTGACTACTACGAAGTAAACGCCCATCTCCAGGACGTATAAACAAATTTATTAGATACTCCAGTCAGCTATAATATACCTATATGTTTTCATATTAAAATATGAAAATAGACGACATGTACAATATATAAAAAAAATCATTTTGCTTTAACATCATAGTATGTACCTATTAGGTAAAACTATATAAAAACCAATTATTCTTCAAGTCACGGGGGGACATTCACACTCACTGCCCCCCCAACAAATATGCCACTGTGTGGTATACGTAGCTAGAACGGTATGTAGTTGTTACGATGGCGGGAATGAGGAGGCTATGAATGATCGGTCCCTTCTCCCTCTAAATTATTTACTTATTTATGTCGCCCAATAGTATTTAGTACTTCAGGCACTATTTGTTTACTCCCACGCGTCCTTCGTTATAACTCATGGTTTTATATGTTATATGTAATATTATTAATATATTACTAATTGTGGTTTTTGTGTGTTTAGAGATAAAACTAAAGGCTATACAACTATAAGGAACCGTTTGAGCAAGATGGGCATCAACGACCCATCCTTGGTTGACTGTGTAAACGTGCAATATATTTGCGAGTGCGTGTCTACTCGGTCAGCGCATCTGGTGTCCGTCGGCCTAGCCGTGCTTCTCAACAAAATTGACGATTCTTTCGTCAATATCGGAGTCGATGGATCGGTTTATCGGTTCCATCCGTTTTTCCGTGACCTAATAATCAAAAAAACAAGAGAATTAATAAAACCCAACATTCAAGTGAGTGACTTAGGCCATAACAGAATTGCATTGTTGTTGCCTCGCATAGTTGTATAATATTAACCATAGGCACAACCATAGACGGATATTTGATGATACTATACACGTGGGGGAGGGGGGCTTGGAATTTTTGCCTATAAATACAAAATTATTCATGCTTTACACTTCAACCTACTATTTACCTTTTTAATAGCAAATATTAATTATGCCGTTACAATTTTTCCAGCAAACTGCAGACAGCATTTATATTAGCCGTAGGGCATAGACTACAATAGTCAATATTTATAACTCAGGTATTGCATGGATATTGTAGTAGGTAGTAAGCAATTAGTGACATTCATTGTAGAACCTATTGCACCAAAATATATCAAAAATTTCACTTAAAAATTTAAAATCTTACTAAGAAATAACAAAATAACAATATTTTTTAATTCATTATTGTTATAAATGTATTTCCTATTTTTTTTTTACTTTACTGTTCACAGTATACTTCAAATAAATATTTAATAAAAATTATTTCACATTTATTTTAATTTTTCTTAAATAATATTAAAAAATATATATAATAATTAATTATTTTAGATTCTGAGCGGAGCGATAAATGTATTGATTTTACAATAATGTGTGTTTTTTTTCTATAAATGTCAATAACATTTTATTCATTGGGTTTAAAAAGCTTGAAAATAACTATATAATTAATACAAGGATTCTAATTTATTATTACAGTGGCAGTAGAAAATATTTAAATACATAGGTACCTAGTCACAGTTTTCTTTTATGTGTATTTAAAGTTAGAATTTTGACAAAAGACGTAAAAATCACAAACATTTTCAAATTATTTTGAATTAGAAATTAATAAAACTTTTTATTTTTATAACTAAGATTTTAAAATTTAATACAAGATTCCTCAAAAGTGTGTCTACCTTTATCAAAAAAAAAAATGTCTACCGGAAAGTTAAATTAAATTTGGATTATCACTATTGTTATTTTGTTGTAATTCAAAAACGAATAACAGTAAAAAAATACACGACATTTTCACTGGATGATTATATTAAAATTTGTTATACACCATTCAATTTTTACAACTTTGAACTCGTTTTGAGCTGTTCAAGGACATTTTCAATTTTTAATTTTTTTTTTCTATTAACGCCATTAACATTTCGGGAAAAAACGTGACAGTTTAATACAAGACTCTTGATATATTGATACAAAAAACAAAAGCAGTTGGAAAATATTAATAAGTAATAACATATAGGCACAATTAATTTTATAAGTATTTGAAGTTCAGATTTTGACAATATTTATCAAAGTATCAACATTTTCACATTTATTGTAGTATTAAAAAATTATAAAATGTTTAATGTTTATAGCTTATTTTGTCAACATTTATTAAATTAAAAATTAAAAAACGATTATTTAGTTAAAAATGTATAAAAGATTCAACTGAACGAATACTGTATTAATAATAACAATATATTTGTTTATTTATTACTTTATTTTTTATTAATTAAATATTGGGAGTTGAGGAGATTGAATTAGATTTCATAATTATATTACAACAATAGTTCATAATCAACACACATAGCCGATAGGTAGTAGGTAGTACGTATCCTCTATAGTCGTGTCTTTTATACATAGTAAAATGATAAATGAATAAAATGATAATAGTTGAAATCAAAATCCACAATTTTTGTGAGAATTATGGGTTTTTTCCATAAAACATTCTGGCCTCTGCGCTATTGCTTATTTTTAGGACTAGGGACTTCATGCCCTTAAAAACCTTAAAATATGCATCTGTTTATACTTTGAAAAATCACTATACATATAAAATATGCACAGTCACTTAAATATTATTCTCTTAAAATATGCCCAAAAACCAAAATATTTTGACTCTGCTATATATCAGAAAAATATTTGTATTGGTAATATTATTAATAATTATGTTGTAAAAAATATACCTACATACAATCAAATTGCATAAAAATGAAATTGATTTATTAAAACAATGTAAATCGATCTTTTAAAGTGTGTGTAAAAAAGAAAACCGAAAATTCCATTTATTACAGTTCTATTTATTTTTCTATAACGAACTTCATAAATAATAATTATTAACCAAATTAATAATTGTATTAATGTACCTACGAAATTGTGTAATTAAAATTGATAAAAATATATTGGTGGTTCATAATAATTTTAACTATAAATACACCGCAGACGAGCAATACAAATCCACACTTATTTCTTTGAATATTCTCGTAGATATAATACTTAGGGATCAAAATTTCCGAAAAACCCGGGTTTGTTCCCGTTTTTTTCCTGAAAAATTGGGAAAAATTGGTTTCATTTAAAATTAGGGGAAAAATGGTTTTATTTTCTAAAGAACTGAAAAATGAATGTATAGTGGAAACAATCTAATAAATAATGATAGTTGATAATCATATTACATACATATTATATAATATACCATACCTAACTTAAAGTCTGTAGTGGATAAATCTAGAGGATTCTATACTTGATTTATAAATAATTATAATTTGTAATATTAACTAAGTACTAAAGTACTGACTATTAAGTATTTACAATGTATTGTTATTTCTTATTAGTTAATAATATTATTTAATATATATATAATATTTTATATTTTATATATTTTATTACCAACTCACTAAGTTTAAAAATATAAAAACTATCAAATAGTTACTAGTCATCACTCACCGCACTCACCAGTCGCACTGTAATATAATTTGGTTTATACCTATCAGTCAGTTGCTATAATACCTTATTATAGTTATTACAAATACAAATAGATAATATGAAGTATATAATTTTTAACATTTAAAAATACAGGTGATTTATTTTCGGGGAAATACATTCTCCCACATAAGTACCAATTTGATATGGAACTACGTTATTTTTAGAACAAATATTGAAATATCCGTATTAATATTTTTAAATTTTAATATAATAATACATTGATAACCAATACGACCAATGTGAAATGACAATGACAGGTTTCTTTATCTATTTTTTAAAATGGTTTTTTTTTTACATAGATTATTTTAATTTTTAAGCCTAAATACAATTTTTTAATTTTCCAAAATTTCAGTTTTTTTTTAATTTTTAGAAAACTTCGGTTTTTTCAGAAATGTATTATTTTAATATTCTCCAATTTTTCGACGTATTCCGAGGCTCTGTGAAAAAAACTGTTTTTTTCCGAATTTTTCAAGCATTTGATCACTAGATATACTTACATTGATTTTTTTTCAAAAATTAAATTAATATTAAATACCAAAGTAAAAAGTTGCTCTGCTGTACAGTAGGTTACATTGTTACAAGTGAGTCACTGTATAATGAGTGGTATTAAATTTGAATTCAATGATATAATATCATTGTATAAGAAAAACGATTCTGAGAGGACACGATATGTCAGTGTAGGTATAAGACAAATTATATACTTATCTATGGTATTAAAAAAATTAACCTATAATTAGTGTTTGAAAATTTCATGAAATTTAAAAAATGAAATATTTCAGTATCTTAATATATTTTGTTTTATTTTAAATAAGTTTTATATTTACATATAATTGACATAAATTACCTTCATAACTGTATGGTACCTCAGTACCCGTATGTATAGGTATACCTAACCTTTGGTATTATACATTTAAAATGGTATTCAACATTTTTAATTATTTTAATGTTTAAATGATATAAGTAGATATACAATATTATACATATATTTTGTGTACCTACTGAATTCTGACATTAGAATTTAAAACACTGAACATTGTGTTAAAAAACTAAATAAATTGTGTTTTATCTGTGTTAAAAAAAATGTCAATGTTTCACAAAACCGCTACCTACATGAGAAATCGAGTGAACATCCATTTGGTAAAAGTATGAATTTCAAACGCTCGTAAAAATTTAATTTGACTATCTTATAGATATTTTTTTTTTTGATTAAGGTAGATAATCATATAAAGAATCTTGTATTACATTTTAAAATGTTAGATTTAAAAAGAAAAGTTTGTACGAATTCTTAACTCAAAATAATTTGCTAATTTTTGTAATTTTTAAATATTTTGTCAACTTTTAAACTTTAAATGCTAAAAAAAAAAACTTTAACTAAAAATGTTTAATATTTTTCAAATGCCTGTGAAACAATATTCTAGGAGCCTTCTATAAAATTTTCATGCTTTTTCAAACAAGAAATAAAATTGTATTGATATTTATAGGAAAAAAACTAAAAAAAAATTGAAAATGAAAATGTTCCTAAACAGTTCAAAACAAATCATAATATTTGAACATTTTATCGTGTATAAAAAATGCAAATATATTCAACCAGTGAAAATTTTATGTATCTACGATCATTTGTTTTAAAGTTACACCAAACACCAATATTTATTTTTTCGAAAACAGATTTTGTGTAAAATTTCCCGTTTTTCCTTAATTTTTATTTTGTTTTTCACGCCGCTTTTGAAAACTACTGGGGAATTTTTACTTTTGAGCCCCCAAAGTACCAACTAGATTCACTTTCCTATCAGAAAAGCTACTGTCCTAAAACGGGATGACAGACATAAAACAAAATTAAAAAAAAACACACATCATTGTAAAATCAATACATTCGTCGTTTCACTCAGAATCTAAAAAAAAAAACACACATCATTGTAAATCAATACATTCATCGTTCCACTCAGAATCTAAAATATAAGTAATAAATATGCACATAAAATGAATTACCGTAGACTCTTGAAGGTATTATGAAACAGATTTCCATATCACAATTCACTAAACTATGTTTTGAATAAGTATTAGAAAAGATGTAAGCTCCTATAATAGTTCCTAGCTCTACTTATTTTCATACTAGATAAAAAAAGTAAAAGAATTTTCAATAATTAGATTAAAAATTTTATGATTGAGAAATTTCAAGTAGGTACCTACCTACGAATAATATTTTTGAATATTACAACAAAATAACTAAAATTGATATTCTTGGTTATTTAATATGTAATTTCGTCCAAATTTGAACATAAAATAACTATAAAAAAAAAAACTGTTATTATATTTTTTTTAGATATTTTGGTTACAGAATAACCTACTTACGTGAAACCTTGTTTTAAATTTTCAATCCTTAGCTATTAAAAATAAGAATTTTATAAATTGTGAACTACAAAATAATTTTTAAATTTTAAATCTGATTAATTTTATCAAAAATCGAACTTAAAATGCTTATGAAAAATAATTGTCACTATATACCTATTTTTAATATTTTTAAACTGCCATTGTAACAATGTATTAGGAGCCCATCAAATATAATTTTATTGACATTTATAGAAAAAAAAACTAAAAATATTGAAAATTTAAAATAAGTAACCGTAAACTGCTCAAAACAAGTCAGAATATTTTCAAAATTGTATGGTGTATAGGAAATGCTAATATAAACATTCAGTGAGAAATCACTTTATGTGTAGCAATTATTAGTGCCTAATGTATTAAGGCTGTTAGTTGTTACCTATTTCTTATTAAATCAAGTCACATAAATTGGTTATAAATTTCACTTTTCTATACAACCATGATTAGTACATATTATGATATTTGTGTATTGGATTTAAGTCATGTGTAAATACAAACAAATTTAAATCTTTTTCTTTCTTTTTTCAGTTTGAATTGCAACTATCCACAGACGGAAGTGGGCTTGGTGCAGCCCTGGTCGCAGCTGTAGTTTCACGTGACTAACGATAATGGACTAATTGGACTGTTCTATTTATTTTTTATTTTGACATATTTTATTTTATTATTTCTTATTAGTTTTTAAGGCCATAGTAAACCTACCATAGTAGGATAATACTATTACTGTAGAAGTGTGGAACAGTTATTTTATATTGATTATTATTATACTAAAAATCCAACTAACAAAAAATGTGTAGTAGATTATCTTTGCTCCGTATAATATAATTAACCACATTCACTATAAAATGTTCAATCATCTTATTGATCAACCTTATTGATACACATTAATCAATTATACTAAGAATATACCTGCACTGTTCTGTTTATATACATATGACTAGTAGTATGACACATAGAACATAAGTACCTACATAACATAATGCAAATAGGTAGTATCTATAATATCTAAAGAATATATTTTACCCTGTTATTTTTAATATGAAAGCAAATTGGTCCATGAGTGTCAGTAGAATTAAAATCCTAGGATTGCAAAAAAAAAATTAAATAAAAAGTTTGTATTCTGTGTAATTTTGTGGAAGTGGACAAGTACTTACTGAATTCAGTGTTAAAATGATACGACACTCGACATAGGAACAAATGAACAATTGTAATGTATTTCAATACCAACTAAATACTTTAAGTTTTGCATAATTTAAATATGACACATTTAATTTTGAAACGTAAGGATATCTTAAATATAGTAAAGCATGTATTAGTCAAATAGTACTTAGTTTTTAATTATTAAATTATTAAATCTAATGCAAATGCATGGGTAATTGAAATAACTTGAAAAAGCAGTATTATTAAAAACTGTTATTAATTAAAATTATAGTGAAAGTGAATCCATGAGCAAAACAGCAATTTTATAATAATTGTTTCATGTGTTTAAAACTTATCCCAATACTATGATTACTAAATAAACAAATTTTAATTTAAACCTAATTTTGACTGTAGAGTATAAAATGTGAATAAAATTAATTTTGCCAATCATACTAATAATACATTTATAAATATGTATTTTAACCTATTCACTATAATGAAAATCTCTGACCTGATTCAGATATTTCCTCAATATTTACAAAATGTATTTCAATTTCTATGTAGATTTATTTTGTAACATTGAAATGTTGAGTCAATTTTGTATTCTCCCCGTAGGTACCAAGGCACATAGCTGAGAAAGAGCTATCATAAGAACTAGAGCTTACTTATATAGTACCCACCAGTGGTTACCCAAAATATAAATCATATACCAACGTGTAGACGCGTAGGTACCATATACCAAAATATGTTGTATACCTACTTGTATATAAAAGTTATTGTGTCTTTCACTTGTATTGTACCTACAGAGTATCTACAGGTATAGAGTGGGATTTTTTTTTAAAGTAATATAGTTGAAAAATAAAAACCTACCTACTTATTATTTAAAAATTATCATTTTTTAAAATTAAAATGTCAAAAACTTAAGTCTTAAAGTTTTAATGTCTAGCATAGGTATCTAGATGAAGTGTATGTCTTAACTTAAATTTATGTCATAGAACTATATAAAGGTTATGTTATAATAACCTACTTTTAGGTATCAAAAAAATGTTTCATATAATAATACGATTATAATATATGACCAAAAAAAAATCGAGTCTCAATAAACCAAACTTTTTCCAGCCCTCGAAGTGTTTTTAAGTAGTATAAATTCAAAAAATACAAAAGTCAAACTTATTTTTATTTCTCTTGAGATTCGAGTTATTGTTTTGTCGATACTCTACCAAATTATACCATTAATAAATATTAAATAAGTACCATATACCTATAATTAATTTTTACAGATGAAAATGTTAGTTTTATTAAAAGTGACTTAGGTATTTTATTTCTAGATCCGAGTAGTCACTAGTGGGTACCACGGTTATTTAAGATATACTTATTTAACTATTCAACTATATTTATGATTTATTGTAAACCGTAGTAAGAACTTGTACACATATAACTCATTTGGTATGTACCTAATATAGCTTTTACTAAAATACCAAAGAGATAGAGTACCTATATTAATATGTTTGAAACCTACCGATTTTTTTTTTTTGAAATGTGTTTTGCATGCTTTGTAAGAATGTAAAAAAAAAGTTCAAAAGTACTGTTTTTCCGTAACGCGCATTATATTTAAAAAAAATACGTAGAATTGAATATTTTTAATTTTTTAATTTTTCAAAATGAGTGGTATTTAACGCTCAATACATTGGTAAAATCAAAATTTACCTATTCTATTTAGTTTTGAAGTTTTTGCACTTGGTTTTTTGTGGTTTTTAACAATAACATAAAAAGGAAGTACGATAAGCAAATTCTGATTCCACCAAATTGTTGAGCATATAAATACAAATATTTCTAAAAAAAAAAAAGATTCTAAAATCTTAAATTATTTGTATTTTAAATTAAAAAAACGATTTTTAAAAAAATTCAGCATTTTTAAGTTTTTTAACCATAATTTCCAAAATAAGTTCAAACGGTTTTTTTTAAAGTACAATCTAATTAGGCATGCAAAAACACACATTTTGACAAAAAAAATTCCAAAAAGTCGATTGGGAGCTAAACTGCATTTATGCCCAGATGGTAAAACTAAAAGTTGAAGGCATGCTGCAAAACAAATAGCTGGTAAGAATAATTTTAGGACAATAGAATATTGTTCCTTATAACTTATTTACGACTATATAACGTAACACCACAATTATTATAGTATCACGTAGTAACAGTGGAGGTACCTTCCCAACCGACACTTATCAGTTATCAGTATTTTTCTTAATGGTAAAACCTAACCTTAGATAATAAAAGTGATAACTGATTACGTCTTCAAGCCAGCGCTGGTGGTCACAAACACGAGTTCCTGTAAATCGTTGTTAAAATATTTGCATCGTTGGTACAGACTTTCAAGAATACGGATTACTATAATTATTGTAAATCTAATTTATCCAGTGAGAACGATAAAGGAAAAAGGAAAATAAATAAATAATTCTTATTTTCTATGGTAATATTTTATACTGAGGAAATCCCAAATCCGTAAACTTAACAACACTCTGACTATTATTGTAATTTGTAAATTTAAATATGTTATGCACCTACCTTTTTGTATTGGTGTTTAAATTATTGTGTAATTTGTGTGTATTAAAGGCAAACGCCGATTCATTGTCATCGTAATTCGTACTTCCTGTGGTCAACCACATGGGAATATTGGTCCCCGGCAATAAAGGTAAGTTCTTACTTACTACTTACAGCTATTTATTATTTATTTGTTAATGATATATGAATGGCCAGTGACGGACTGAACTTGCATTTTAAATGGTGCAATTTCATATTTAAGTATTTACTACCACCTCACAATATACCTACACTATAATATACATTACCTATTTACATATAACAAAGTTAGGTGTGATGTAAATAAAATATGGCTGAAAGAGGTCAGTCCATGATCCAGGTGTCGGTTAAAGGATTTTAGGGGCCTGGTGCGAAATTATTATTTTTATATGAGGGGTTCTCTATGCACTTAGCAAAATACATAAAATGGCTATTGGCACATAGTTCAGTTAAGAGGACGCTACACCCGCATGTGTTGTCTCCGTCTTACACACGTACGACATAGACAAAACGCGTTTAGGCAGTCTGAATATAACTCGCTCAATTTTGGTTCTAGAGTAAAAATTCCTATTATGAAATTGAATTGTGATAATATTTCTAAGGGCAAGACGCTGCGGTTTTTCCATTATACCCAATATAACGTTCATTATATCGTTTAGAAATAGAAAAAAATTCACCATTTTTAAAATACCTTTGACTTTTAAAAAATTTAATTTTTTAAAAAAACCGCAGCGTCTTGCCCTTAGAAATATTATCACTATTCAATTTCATAATAGGTATTTTTACTCTAGAACCAAAATTGAGCGAGTTATACTCAGACTGCCTAAACGCGTTTTGTCTATGTCGTACGTGTGTAAGACGGAGACAACACATGCGGGTGTAGCGTCCTCTTAATACTAGGACCCCTTGATAATGGTTTGAACAAAATTGTTTTATGAATAAGTCTCCCTGATTTATTACTACTTATTACTTATAAATTATTAGTTTTAAAATCAACCGTAATTCAATGTTTATTAGTAGTGCGTCTCCGGGCACGTAGCCAGAAAATTTCTACTAGGGGGGCCAATAATGTTTGGCCCTTTTATTATTTTCCATGATTTTTCTTTATGAAATTCTTGTTGGGGGTACCTATGCAATACAAAGAATCTTATTAATTTAAATAATTTACCTTTAGTTTGTAATAAGTTAAATTTCTTTTTTCACAGCAAGTTATACCTATTACTTACCTATTTAAGAATTACAAAAATAGAAAATACCTGATAACAAAAAAAAATAAATAAATATAGAATTACCTACATCTTCACTTATGGGATACATTTTTCATGCTATGAAAAATAAATCTACACACATATTTAAAATAATAAGCTGCTTCAATTATTCAACTACTATTAACAAAAATTAATTCATATTTGAATACCTACTTATCAAAAATAATAGGGATACATGATCATTGATTTTTAAATTAAATTTACAAGAATCTGTTGAGAATAATGGTTCTTTGTTTGACACTTTCTCAGCCGCAATTTCATAAGCACAACTGCTTGATAAATATGAAATATATTAGGTTATTAATTCTTTGTAAAATAAAAATTGCTATAGTTAGCTGGAAACGTATCGAATATTTAAATATACAAGATGGTAATTTTAAATTATTTAATTTAATAGTAATATGTACTTACCAGATGGAGTAGAACATATATTTTCAATAGCATCAAATTTAGTTGTACCTAGTAGTTGTACAATTTTTTTTAGTACTTTTACTAGCATAGCTATTTAAATAACGTTTCATTGCTTTAACAAATATATTAACAGTTCACATATGACAAGGTCAGACGGTTAGCATTCAGATGTCAATACAAATAATCAAATTGCAAAATATATTCCAT